ATATTAAGCCCTTTAACACAGAAGTTGTGAGACTTTTTCACTTCTCCCAGGCCCCAGTATCTACCTGGCGCTTAACTGGGGCAGAGAGAATTGTAAAGTTGTGTTTCTTAGGCCGTGAGACCATCTGCCCCTTTAACGGAGTAGGGAGAGGCAGCTGACGAATCTGCCGGCTGTAGGAGCATCAGCATTATTGGAGACACTAATCAATGGCCAGCTTAAATACACTGACATGCCTCTTGGATACCCTTCTTGGCTGTTTCAAAGGAGTTGGAACACTGAGCAACAGGCCATTAAAACTGAGTCTATCCAAAGCCTCTTTGGCTCCCATGAATGAGACTGGGATATAGGGTGGGAAGCAGGATGGTGTGGGACATGCAATACCTTGTGTAAAGACTGTCTTCAAGAACAGTAAGGTGAAGAAACTAAAAAAGGAAGATGGAGATCAGATTTGACAAGATATTGTCAAATCTTAGTTAGTCTGCTTTCTGAAAAAGAGAAGTTGTTTGGCAACAACTTTAAGTATTGGGAATCAAATTGTATTTCAATTCAATTTGTTTTTGAAACCAATCAGACAAGTTTCAATGTGTGTTTCCCTTATGAATTTATTCTCAAATTTTCTATCTCTTTTCCTCCAATTTCCAGCTTGCTAATACAACAATGTCAAGTTGCAGACAATACAAAGATATTTGTAGCAATAAAGAGACTTTACTAAGTGTTGTTATTATAACTAGGAATTAAGTGTGAGTTCTAAAGCATATGCATTGTGCATGTATACCCATTAATGCATTTTACCTACTTGATCAGATACAGTCCAATAGTTTTATCAATGTTTTGGGGGCTGGCGGCATTATTCACAAGTAGTAAATATATAGTATACCCCTCATTACAGAAAATAATTACTTTAGGAATACTATGAACCTAATTTGTTCAGAGCAAAACAGATAACAAGACTTCAGGCAGTGACCTCCAATCGTTTTTCCAGCCACAGATCAAGACTTTAGACACCATTATTTTGCCCCTATCAGTACTACAAAGAATGTTGTGTCCTGCAGGGACTCTCCAGTGGAATCAAGATCTAGTGTCTGGCTCTAGAGTAGGTGAGATAAAAATCTGTAAAGCTGTGACACTTATATTTGAAAAAGAGAAAACCCTGCTCCTGTGTTACTGGCCTATTAGCTGATGTTGACTGTCTTGAATATTTTTATTTGTCTGTTTTATTAAAACAAGGTATTTTGAGGATTGGGAATCTGCAACAATTTTCTGACAGATTACTTTAAAATGTTAACAGTCTGAGGCTATTTAGGGAGTCAAAACAATTTAGAGAAATCCTTGGATCTCTCTATGATCAGAGGACAAATGGGATAAAGTGCCCACAACATCTTTGACATCAGATTTGCAGTGTATTACGTGGCTTTCAGTTCTGCATATGGAATGCACATTTGCAGTATGTGACAAGCTCAGCAGCATGTGCTATCATGTGTTTTGTATGTACACATTCGTGTGTTTTATCTATATATTATGATGGGTAAATTTGTTTTTCTCATGGACTGGGACCATGAAGATATTTCACAGGGACTCCTCTTGAGCCACTCTTCACCACTCCTTTTTAGATTGTTTTTTTTTTTTTCCTTCTAATTCAGGCCACGATCATATGAACACATAACTGGAACCAGCAAACGCAACAGTATCTGTGAGTTTGCATATGATTTTGATAGGGCTTTTTCTTTTCTGATTTTCCTTTCCAGTAAGGAATCAACAAGTCACACCAACATTTATGTCAGAGGGCAGCATCTAGAAAGAATGGAAAAGTTATTACATGAGATGATTTAGGTGATGGAAGAGTAAGTTGTCTCCAGAAGCAACACAACTGATACAGACTTGTTCTCAAGAGAAGTTTTTCTGGATGTTTGAAAGTAGCCATTGATTCATCTTTCAACAAATAGTATTACAATTTTCTATTTATTTTTTAAAAAAACTATGCTTACTTGAGAAATGGATGAAATGTCAGCCATTTTTTTGTTTAGAAGAAATAGAATGGATTACAGACTCTCATTGAATCTGTTCTCTTCAAAGACAAGGCACAATAAACTACGTATCTTTGTAAATACACTTGAATGAAGGGATTTTTAGGAGAAGGAATAAATATTTTAATTAAACGATGATATGAGCACTGAATGAATGATTAGAAATCAGTCATGAATAATCTCAGATTGTAAATTAGAGGAGTTTTGATGCATGACATTCTAAAGTTCAAAGTTCAAATGGGGTAGTATGCACAGAGTACCAAAATTTGCTTTAAGATCAAGTTTGCTAGGTGTATGGAAGAGATATCTGTAGGTATTCATTTATTTATTTCTAAGCATCATTTTCTGAATTTCTGTGTAGTTTCATCTTGTGATGTCTGAAGCTTAAAAGAAAAAACATTTTTGCTATTATATCCTGTTACTTCAGTTCTTCACAGTTTCTGATGTTTTCCCTTGGGATCCTTGTAGGAATGTGCTGGTTTTGTTTTTTGGTATAGTCTCTCTCAAGCTCTGGAGATCAGCAAAGGTAGCACTAAAAGTGACATGTAGCAGAAGTGCTGGTGTTTCTAAAAACTTACTACTATGACTTCCTCTTTGATACATACTGCTGAAGTACTCAGAGCTGATGTTTGGGAGTTGGTAAAGAATATTTACCCTTTGTCAGATTAATAGGAAGCTTCAGGTTCTCCATACTATCAAGGATCTACCTGTTAGGGTCACCCGAGGCATAAAAGGATCAGTGTTAAGGATTGATCCCAAGTCTGTTGAGATCAATGAAGTTTTCTACTGGTGAGTGTAAATACATGTAACCTACTTAAACTATTGGAGCTATATGGACTTCTCAGAAAGTAAAATTCAGCCAAGTAATTTTCTTAGAATATATTTGAACTTCTATGCTGACAGCTGGTTTGTCTGAGTGCCAGGAGCATGTTGTATATCTAGACTGGTTAGATTTTTCCTACAGGATGGTTCATTATCAAAGTATATTTTGCTGTCCGCCTTGAAAATTTGCTGCAGTGAATTGCGTATCAAGTCTACTGCACTGACTTGTTACTTCAATGATTTTGCAGTTGGGATTTAGTGAGAAATAGTGATGCTGCTTTTAGAAATAATGAGATTCATGAGCAGGCATGCTTTTCTGGTATTCGCTTTAACTATTGGCTTATCAAAGGAAAGACAGTTCAGATTTTCTAGGTTACTTTAGATTCAGTGAGGATTAACTCTGAATTCATACCTTAACATTATTTAGTGAATAATTTGGGCTAATAATTATGTTATTTTTCTGCTTCTTTAAGTAAATATAAATGAAAGGAGAATTTGAGATATTAAAGTGAGGAAAAATATATATAAAAGAAATATAAATAATTTCTGGAGTAATGCAGTGCACTTGATTCCTTTGGAAATAAAGGAGATACTGGTTATTTATGGAGGAGACATGTAAAGAGGATGGCTATAAGTACTGATGTTTCCTTCTTTTGACCGCTATTTCCACAGCTCTATAAGCTGGTGTATAAATCCAGGCCTCTGGAGTGCATCAATGAAGCCTATTTCCAATGAAGCCGTCCTTATGAAATGCAAGAAAACTTAACAAACTCTTAACAATTTATTTTTTTCTTAAAGACGTTGCCCTGTAATTGCTCATTTTTCTGTTCTCAGTCACCTTCCCAGTCAAAACTTGACAACACTATACAAGTAATCTCAGTGATCATCTAGGAAACTGTATGTGTTTTTACTGTTTGAAAAAGCAGCTTTAGGCTTAGTGTTGTGCTTCATACTGGGGGCATCTCTGAGTGTCTAAGTGCAAAACATGTGATTCTATATTCGGTCTTCAAGCAGCTTTCCCACTGCTTTCTGTTCATGAGTATTATGAATTACTTCACCTCCTACTAATCTGGCCCCACTTTTGGTAGGGAGTGCACTTTCCAATGATGCATAGCAATAGCATAGCACAGATAAGATACTGTCCTTGATTTTCCTAAGTTAAATTTCGTGAGGAAATTAGGGCAACAGAATGTAATTACCTACACTGAAATCTCCTAAGGGCACTCACTGAGTAGGTCTGTGCAAACGGCTGATTATTTTGATTTGCTTACAGAAGCAAAAAAACCTCAGTGGAGAAAATGGGTCTGAACAGAGCAAAATTACTTCTTGTTTGACCTGAATTGAAACATGTGCTTGGTTCTGAGCTTCCATTCACAGCTTTTTACAAGAATTTTAGAAGTTTTTCCTTTTTTTACTAAAAATCAGTTTGCAAACTGAACATTTCTGTTAAGTCCAACAGCCTCCTGAAAAGGAACTTTGAGGCTGGTCAGAGCTAGCTCCTGGGGTTCATTTCTCTTGGAACATAAAGTCTTTTGTACAACAGTGTTTCTTAGAGTGCTCATCCAGGAGGTGACTAAGCTTCACTCACTCTTTGCCTATAAAGAGTATAAAGCCTGATCCTTGCCTATTTTTTTTCTGCTCAGAGAGGCAGCTTCTCTTCCCAACCTGCTGACAAACTAGGCTGTTCTGCCTAAAGAAACTGGAGGTTCGATAGTTTCCAATCACAGATAACTTCCAATAAAACTAGTTTTGGTTCCACTTGAAAAGGCATCATTAGGTATTACTTTGACTCTCCAAGGGTATTTTAGTTTGTATGAATGTACAGGATATTCAGGCCTGTATTCTGAAATAGGTCTTTGTATGCAACACCATATCTTAGTAAAGACTCCATCAGTGGTATGCAACTGGCCTTGGATTTCTTCCAATGAAGTGGCCTGGTGAGTATCCCCGATGATTCCCTGAGGAATCCGGGTCTCTGAGTCAATATCTGTTTACGCATTTCTCTACTAACCAATGAAATAAACAACACAGCTAGTGGTGAAGGATTCCCATCGCTGTCCTTTCAGGTCTCAGCCAGCTGTGTGGGAGCCATCCTTGCTCTTTGGTCTTTCTCTGCCCTGGTGATTCTTGATTGCTTGGTTTTCTCCTGAGCAGTGGAGCAGCTTCAGGCATCACACAGAGTGTTCCCTATCCTACAGCTGCTCTGTGTGATGCATATTGTAGCAGCAAGGGGGAAGGTTTGAAGGATGATACCTTCCTCCTGAGGAAAAAATGTAAACTCCACCGAGATGGACGTAAGATTCCCTAACGGGAAGTGATGGGGGGAAACATCCCTTCAGAGAAACCACAAATGGAGTTCTAGCTGAGATTGAGAAGCTTAAGGAAATTCTACAGTTAATTGCAATTGAATTCAGAATTACAGTTTCGGACTTAGGCACCTGACCTTAGGATCTGATTTTTAGTGTTTTCTCCTCAAGTCTCTCTCTATAAAAGATGATTACATCAATTCTCATCTTCAGTGTTGATACTTGATTAAATACATTAAAAACTGCATTGCTCATGTTTTGATATTATAGTTGATACCAGTATGGAAGACAGATTTGATGCTTTTGCATATCATTTTTGAATGTAATTCTGAATGGAAATCTAAATCACATTTTTAAAAATGATGTAAAAATGAATTTAAGAATGTAATATGCTTCCTGCTAGCTATTCTATGTGGGTATTGCTGATCTACTGCTATGGAAATGTGCATTGTGGGCTTCTTGGAGAGTTCTTGTATTCCACAAATAATCCTTCCAAATCTTGCAGAACCCAGTGATCACTTGAGCTTTCCAGTGCCATCTACAAAATATCCAAGAAAGACATACTAAACTTCTTCTTTTCTTTCCACAGGCTGTTTTTCTGGGGACAATGACCACTTTCTGGCAATTCATCAGCTAAAGAGCAGGAAACCTATGTTTATTTATCACCATGTGCAAAGTTTGGAGAAAAGCCTGGACACAGATAGTTATAAGAATTCAAAACACAAATTTCATTCTTCTTCCCACACCAAAATAAGACAGCTGCACCCTGCAATAATTGTTAAGTCAACATTCCCCAGACCTGCTTATGACCCATCATCCCTCAATCTGTTAGCTATGACTGGCCAAGATCCGGAAGTGGAAAATCTCCCCGTCCCTGCAACTAACATAATTGTTGTGGTAAGTGGCTTTTTCTGTGTCCTGGTATTTTCATGAATAAATATACCTGCAAACAGAGATATAGATTTTAATGTGGAGTAAAGTTCACATTCCACTGGCTGGCATCTGAATCTTGTAGCTCTACTTCTCACTGAAGCAGAGTCCCTGTTAACATAACTTTACCATGATCAGCCTGCAGTCAAGGCTCACAGCGCAGAATACAGCTTCTCTGTAGGTTAAAAAAAAAAAAAAAACAGCCACCCACTTATCTTTGCCTCAAGTGCCTTTACTCCTCTTGTCTTGATTGGTATATGTACTGCTTTTGCTGAATGGGTTTTAAACTTACTCTGCATAGAGCACAAGAAGAAGATGCGCCTCAGGGAACAGCCTTACAGAAGCAGAGAGATTTTAAAAGGCTGACCCAAAGGTCTTGTTCCCTTCCATTTCTCCCATGCTTCTATCATTATGCTTATGCAGCTGTTTGAAGACAAAACCGTTTCTCCTAGGGAATGAGAACTGTGTTTTTGTTGATGTAGGCCATATGTGCTTTTTCTGGGAGATGCAGTCTGGGAGACCTTGCTTACTCACTCACCTATGTGAGGCAAACGTGCTCGTTCTCAGCAAAGTGATGACAATATTCCCTCCTGCCGTGGAGGGTGTTTGCCAGGTTTATGCTGCCCACAGGAGCCCTCTGTAGAGTACACGGGGCAGGCTGTACTTTGCATGTGCGTCCTTGTGCCTCACTCTGGTGCTCTGTAGCCCTGCTGGGTTATGGAGGACTGCATTTGGCTTATCCTTCTCCATCCTAAAGGGAAGGACAGTCATTCACAAGGCTCATCCACTCACTAGGGTGAACTGATTAACTTGAAACCATGTGGCTAATTACAATCACCACTCATTTACCTAATTCTCTGTAAACAAAAGATGCCAGATTAAAAAATAGCCTTTGCAAAGAGAGAATCATGTCAGAGTGTGCAGCACTGGGGCACGTTAGTACACAAAGTGTTGCAGAATAGGCACAGTTCCTCAGACCTTCAGTACCTCGACAGGGCTGTGCTGATGAATCCGCCACATAGCTGCTTGCGGGCCGTTGAGGTAGCTGGACTGCCATAAGGGCTAGAGACATGGAAAAGAATAAAGGGTGGAGGGGCTAGATGATAAGTATAATCAGCAGGCTAGATTGAGTGGTATGCAATTTTGCTACTGTAAAACATATGAGTGCAGAAAAGGAGTCTGACAACGTTGCTTCTCTGAAGACATGTCAGATGAGGATGTGTCAATGCAGTCCCAGGACAGAATGGGAGGATATGTTTATGGCCCAAGCCACCTCAGCCAGCAGGGCTCTATAGAAGTCTACCTCCAAACTAGGACCTGCTCTCCAGAGCAGAGACTGTGTCACCTTCTGTGAAAGTGAAATCTGTCAGTGCTTATAAAGGTCAAAGTGCAAGAAATTCAGAATATGCATTTTCATTAAATGACCCTGTGACCTGTTATTTTAGTAGAGCTTTGCGCACGTTTTTTTTGAGAACCACAGTCCTCAACTTTGAATGACAGAACCTTGCAGAACATTCTCGGGGTACTCTGGTTTTCTCTGGCTGGCTCTGTGCCTGCATTAAAACTTAAACGAGCCAGATTTTCAATTGGCAGTCACATAAAAACAGATCTATAAATCTACATTAAGTTCTCATTAAGTGACCACAGTCTGAAGCTTCTCTACTGCATTTCCATGATGGAAGCATCTGCTGTGGCTCTGAGGCCTTCAGTTCTGGCTGAGAACCTTATGTGCTCTAATGTTGGGCCTCGACAGCATGAGCTGAGCGTGGCATAAAGCTGTTGGGTGGGATCCTCAGCTCCCTCTGGGCACGTCCAAGGACAGCATTTTTGATTTGGTTTTAATGTCATCTTTTTGTAAAAAGCCTTTCGGAAAGCATATGGTTTAATGCGCTTTTAATGGGAAGTGCTGAGAGAGTTGAACAGCTCAGTGGACTAATTCCCCAATAAAAATTTCTGGAAGTGCCTTCCTCCAAAGGGCAGCTGTCCCGCAGCAGAGCGGCTGCTGTTATCCAAGCACAGCTCTGCTCCCACCAGGTCTTGGCAATTCTACTTTTTTTTTTCCTCCCTCATGAATTTCATGTTATTAGATTGTAATGTTAATGTCATTGCATAGGGAGTCTGTTTTGTTTTGAATGCATGTATGTCATCCCTCTATGTTCAGAACTAATGCCTGCTGCTTGTTGCTTCTTTTTCATTCTGATCATTTAGGGCAAGTGGGAGCATTTGCTGTTTTGCCCTGGCTGACCCTTTTTGTTCCAGCCTTTAGCAATGCTGTTGGTTGTTCAACATGAAAGGGCAATTGCTAGTGTTAATGCTTTCTGTAATCCAGTTACGTGCCTAGTGCACACTGTGATTTACTATGAAAGCCTGCAAAGGAGGTTATTTTTTAAAAAAATAAATCAATGCTGTGCAGCTCTGCAGAGGGGAGGAAACTGAATTCAATCTAATTTCAATGACTTGAGGCCCATTTGCTTCATGATAGGGGTGGAGAGGTTGGGTAAAATGGATGCCTAATGTATAACTATTGCAAGGTTACATTTTGTACTAAGGACTAGATAATCTAACAAGCTAAATATTGCCAATGCACAAAGAGTTCTGGGAAGTCAAGAACTCTGTAGGTATAATTCTGTTTTGTGACTCTTTCTGCAAAGAACAATCTTATTGGACCTGAGGAAGCTGTAGGGCTTATTTCCCAAAGGGAGAAAGAGAGAGATTTCCTCTCAGGCACTAAGTTTTATAAAACTGAAGGCTTTCCATCACATTGCCCTTATCAGGGTCTTGGCTTTTTTCTGTTTTCTTTAATTTTCATCTGTTATTCAATACTCATTATTGGAAAAGTGGGGACAGTTGATATCCAGAGCTCATAGAGGCATTTCCACTGCTATGTAGATGCTGCATTGTTTAACCATATGTTCTGTTTAGCTGTCTGTCAAAATGATATGAGGCCAATTCATCTAAAAAATGCTGGTTAATATAGGGAATTACTTACGTTTTCATTTTTTTCCTATTTGTAGGGGTTTATTTTGGACCTTAGAAACTATATACACATTAAACATGTTAAGATAGTTAGCAGTGAAATTAACAGCTTCTGAAATTAACAGTCCCAATGCTATAGAGTAGTCTGAGACTGAGCAGATCTGTGTAATTTTGTTTTTCACCAGTGTTACTGAACTGAATTGATTTAATTAGATTTTTTTCTTGGCTAATGCAATGGGACATAAGATGCACAGACAACCACACAAAGCTTCTTTTTGCCTTTTCTATGGCTTTTTGTGTAAACCTAAATTCCTGTGAGCTGTAGCTCTCCTGTATGGCTATGTCCATTTTGTCCTCAGTGTTTGAGCCTTCTATACTGAAGCAAAATGAAAATAGGAAGAGTTTCAGGTGCTAGTATTTAAGGTAGGATTCAGTGGGAAAATAATGCACGTAAATATTTGTTTCTACAGATAGACATCCACACGTGAGTTAGTTATTCAAGCTTCGCTACAGGCAGTGGAGTCAATAGCTAGTCAACAGGGCCAGCAAAGCCTGGAGAGTTGTTAAATTCACTGGACACTAGGATTATGTCTTTACAAATAAATGAGCAGTGCTGAGGAATGTTTCCAGGCACTAGAACTTGATAGTCTATTAAACTGTTGAATTTCTAGTACAGTTTTTGACATAGTTTGGGATCAGGTTGGCTAGCACTTTCCTAAACATTTTTTGCATGATTAGAGAGCACATGCAGGTCAGGGACCATTTCCAGTAGTCAAACTGCATGATGTCATCCTCTGTTGCACATTCCAGAATCTAATAGTGTGGCCACAAGCCACTTCCATGTCAGTTCAATCAGCACCAGAGACCAGTCCTGGACACAATTTACGAGTACGACATAGCCTTGACTTCTGGCTTAGGTGAGCTGAATATTTCTCCAGGTCCAATGGCCTGACAGGCAAGACTTCCTCTCATGGCAGTGGATACACAGGCACCTACTGTACACTACTATCTATAGATGTGCATATATTCATGGGTGTGCATGTATATAAATATACACAGCGCTAGAGGTATATTTCTGTGCATGTGCATGCATATGCATGCATCTCTAGTCTCTTATCTGGAGCTGATGCCAGCTGAATAACAGATATTTTCTCGAGGTAATTTGGAAATCCTCTCATCAAAACATAGCAAGTAGGTTGGACTGCTTCTAGGTGGCTTCGGGTAGCTGGAATCCTTCCAGTTGTGAGCTGCTTTCACACTTACGTCAAGTTCATCCCACAAGTACCTCTACATCCTCTTGTCTGACTTCTCTGGCTTCACATCCTTGGTTCAGAGAAGACGCAGCTCTTGCTTGCTCATTGATACAGCCTTACACATACAGGCTTTCTCCCTCTATCAGCTCCCTATTTCCTGGTGCATCAGGTTTAAACATCAGTATCAAGGCCCAGGTTCTAATTTGGATGCTGAGGTGGGGTGGATGATGGTTAGGGAATGTTCTTATAAGGAATTAACAGAATTTCTGAAAGCAAGTGATAATTTATCATTATCTGCTCTCCCTCATCTGGTGTTTGACAACTTATACTGCATTTGGTATCCAAATCTTCTAGTTCATTAAAAGTACCCTAAGCCACTCCCTCTGTAGGCCTTGTGAAGAGATGATCGGAAAGTGTATTAAAATACAAAATATGGCAAAAATATGTTGTTACTCAGGAGAGCAAGTATTCTATAAGCTGGCAGCTCAGCCAGTATTGGGGAAAAGAGCCAAGCTAACTGCCTGTGAAACGTAACAGAAAGTCAAATGTCATTTTTTTCCACTTAGCATCTGAGGCCTGTTATCACCAGGCTAAGAGAAGGCTGGCACTGGGCCAAGCAGAGGAGGTATAAATAGGAAATCATATCTCTGCAGTGACTCCTCCAAGGAGCTTTCTGAGGAGTAAGTCTCCAAGTGTAGCAAGGTATCAAATGTGTCCCTCTCTGTTTCTAGGTCATGT